AACCACTGCTTTAGATCAACATTAGATTATTTTTCTTCGTTTGTCCTTTCATTTGGTTTATTTTGTTTCTATTTCCTTTTAATTCTTACAAAGCACTTTGTATTGCCTTGTTGCTGAAATTTCTTATATAAATAACATTACCTTACCTTAATCATTAAGTTTGGTTAAAAATAATTATTGCACTCTCAATAAATGACTTCCAATAGATGTTCTCAGTTGCTAGAACGCCCTCATGAGCTCAGAGGGTCAAACTGATGAAGAGGACGGATGCTATCTGCTAAAATATTCCTTGCCATCTTCCATGTTCTTTCATCAAGCAGTTGAAACAAAGCTGTTATGTTTTGTTAGTCTGCAGCTCATGTGACCAAACCAGCCGAAAAGCTAAAACACTCAACATTGTCTTGTACACAAGCTCTATAGGTAACCCCAAGATCACTGGATCTTCTTAAAAGATACAGTCTGAGAACAGTTCTTAAAAAAATTGCCAGTGTTTTCAGCAAAGTTAAGCTGACTGTCCTGGAATGACCCATGGTATTTAAAATTTGCCATCAAGTGAAACTGGTACTACTTTCAGGTTTTGTTTAGGTAATTTAATTAGCTCTACCTTACGGAAATAAAAAGTTAATAATGAATAAAGATTTTGTGGGATTCTGATTTAGTGTTGTAATTAAATATAATTGCACAACTAATAAGTTGTGTTACCACCCCCAACCACTAGTTCAGTAGCAGGCCCGAAAAGATGGAACTAAGCTACAGAATTTGCTAGAAACTGTGAGCTGCACTGAATAAAAGAGACAAGTTCAAATACATACCAAGAGTGGAACTCCTTCCTAAAGGTAAAGATATGTCACAGATTTCAAAAGAAAATAAAAATGGGAGATTGCGGATAATGTAGGAAATAACGCCCCCTTCACTTCCAGAGTGCAATGGACCCATTTCCAAATAAGGTATGAGACTCCCTGTGGTCCGTCCCAGCCCCTTTCTGTTTTCTGCAGCGAGGTCCTTCTCACTGCATCTCCTTCAGGAGCAAGCAGCTACCATCACTGAGGTGGCTGAGCTCCATGAAGAAGAGTTGAGGCAAACAAAAGAAAAATAAAAGCTGTTTTCTCTCAATGAACAGTATTTTTTTATACTCACTCCACACATTGTACATTGTTTGTATGACATCAAGGTCCTAATACAATCCTCCCAAATATGTGAAGAGCTTTAGACAGAGTGAAAATATATAAATATGTCATCGACACTTAACATTGTGGATTACCAATGAAGGCATCCAAAAGTGAATACATTATTCAGCAAACCAAACATTTTGACATTATCAGGGTTGCTATTAAAAAGAACCCAAAATACAAATCATATTTTTTCCATTTCTATGTTGTACTAAATCATTCTATCCACTCTCTGTTCAGCTGTCTGCCTGGAGAATCTTCAGTGTAAGTGAGAAAATGTATCCAAAACCTGTAACCTTAATTAGTGATAAGACTGAGTTTAAACTTTTAATTAGTGACCAAAATGTGAAAACATGGAAGGTTTGATTAAATCTAGAACCAGTCAGATTAGAAGGAATATGGCTTTATTTGTCCTCAGTGTAACTGACATCAGATGAATCATAATTTACTATCGAGAAGTTAAAAACAACAGATTGTTAATGCACTTCAACTCTGTAAGAACATAAGACATTTGTTTTTAAATCAGAAATGTTTTATCAGCATATTGAGCTCATGTGATTCCAGCTCCAGACATCCTGAAAGTAAACACTGACCAGCAGTCAGGAAGATGGACACTGATGAGACATCCTACAACTCAGAGGAGGACGTAGAACCACCAACATCTGAAGAAGTGGAAAAAAGAATATTTTTAGTGTTTAATACTGCGACATGTGAAAAGGTATATTGACCATGGCCATTTTGAACAAATTTCTTAATTTAGAACAGGTTTGTGTTAATGATTTAAAACTAAAACTATTGCTGGGTAAGTATTCAACTTGAGGGAAGGAAGAATAGAGATCAAAAGGGAACTCTGACTGAGGCTCCTGTTGTGTTAGAGAGGACAGGAGGCCATAAAATTAGCATCTGCAGGAAGGCAGTATCACTTGGATGAGTGTGGGAGAGAGAAGTTTGCTCGGTTCACGGAAGATCAAGTCTTCCAAAACTAACATCTGGGACAGTGTAAAACTGAATAGAACATAATGTTTAAAACCATTAACATTTAATTTGTAAGACATTTTTCTTAGTTATTAATAGCATGCTCTGACTGAAAATAGTTTAATCGTAGTTTTAGAATTACTAATTTCGTCACTGATGAATGTATTTTGAAATTGTATTATCTGTTACTATATCAGAATCAAATGGAAATGGTGTGAATGAAAATGTTTTGTTTAGTATTAGAAAATTGTTCAAGTTTATGATGAAAAGGGTTTTAGAAAATGATTGTGTTAATTTTTATACTTAGGATTGAATGTTATATTTGATAGGTTAGAAAAAGGAATTTTACCCCATTCTGTTCTGTTGATTTTATGTATTACTTTTGGTTCACGCCAAGACTCAATCTTTTGAGGTGCTGAACGCAGAAGAACAAAATTAGGTTTGTGGAGATAACCTTTGTTTCAACTTTCTACAGGATTTTAAGATTCTTCCTGAGGAATCTGAGTAGGGAGAAATTCCAGATTTCACACCCATCTGTAAAATACCTTTCTCCGTTTGTCTTTGCCCAGATAGCCTTAAAACAGCAGGAGTTCAGGAGAAGCTCTGCTCTCACTTTGCTTAAACAAAGGGGACAAAATTGCCTTTGATCTTGGAAGCAAATTGTAAGGAGTTTCTAACTTGTAAGAGGGTCCATAATAGCTTCCAGTTGGTCAAGCAGAGGTACGCCTTATTTGAATACATTAAAGAGGAAAAACACACCTTTACTATAAAAGTTTGTACACAGGAGTAACAAATCAGATTACTGCCTTATTTTGCTTTTTTGCATCAGCACTCTCCAAAGACCTTTTGCCTTCTTTTTTTCTATCCTCTTTGTCTCAGGTAAATGAATGCATGTCTCTGTTATTCTGCAGTTTCTATTATAATTTCATGCGTTGTCTTCTATTGGATTAAACTCTGTAAATTCTATGACGTCGACACATTGTTTTCTGTGTGGCTGCACGCGGCCCGCCGGGAGAACCTGGGATGAGAAGAAGATCGAGCTAGAGAGTTTCTTAAAACCTAAAATCTTCAACAAAACACATTGGAATATATTATGAATGTACGGCGCCATCATGCATTTCTGACACTATTAAGTTATTTGAAACACCCTGACTATTAGCACAAGTATATTCGGCACCATTACAAGTTTTATAGTAGTTTAATACAAAAATCATCGTTAGCTCACCTGCACCGTCTGTGCCACCTGCTTTCCTCCTCACACATCGCAGCTTTCCTCCCACAACGCATTTTCTTGAAATCTCAGAAAAATCACAATCAGGCTATAAAAATAGCTCAGCTCCCTCTTCTTTTGTCTCGAAAAACAACAACACATTAGGTCGCATATATTGTAACGAAGTACAGCACATGGCGCCTGGAGGCGGGGCGCTATACCTCCCACCGCCAGGAGGCGGCACCGTGCTACAGAGCCTAGCCGGTGGAAAAACGGTCACTCCAAAGGAGAGCCGAGCTGAGCTGCTGAAGTTGAGCCGGTGGAAAAGGGGCTTGGGTTGCCCAGTCAAGGTTAAAACTTTACAAGACCGACTGATTGTAGTGATGCAATAGGTGTAAAATATTGAATAAAATGTTGTGCTAACATGAGTGGTTTTATTTTCACTCTTACATTTAAGTTTATGACACACAAAATTACAATATATCTTTTTTCCATCACACACTTGTTTGTGAATAAAACCACAGGTGTGATGTAGAAGTTAGAAAAACTTTCTATTTATTTTCATATTTGTCCTCACAATAGAAGGAAAAAACCTTCCTCATCCCCAAACACAGACATGGTTTGGCTGCAGAGAAAACTGACAGGCTGCCCCAGTGCTGGATTAAATGCCCAGTTCACTACAGGCAGCTTGAGTCAGTCCCACTGCTGTTGGTCAGAATCAGATATCCTCATATGAAGAAACCATGACGCATCAGTACGACCTGTTCACTGTTCGCTCTGTGCTTCACCTTAACCTAACATTACCACCAGGTGGTTCACACCCCTGATGGGATCTGGGCTGGAGGTGAGCAGCCCAGATCCCATCAAGTGAGGTTAGTAAATAGACGTTACTGCAGAACCTCAACTGACAAAGAAAGATTCAGCCAACAGCATTTGGAGCTCACAAAATATCACATAAACATTAGCGAAAATACTGCAGATGCAGATTTAATTACCAGTCAGAACCACCTTCCCAGATACAAAGATGAGCAGGACGATACGAGGTTTCACCATCCGGTAGATGAGTCCTGGGAATAACTCAGGCTCATAACTGGGAAGACATCATTCACACAGATTATTGGAGTAAGACCAATGAGTAAGATAATTAACCAACACCACATTTCAGATTTGCTAAACTCAGAGGACAAAATTTTTGGAAAATACAACAATTAATGAGAAAAGGAACATTTATTCAGTGAAACAAAAACAAAATTCTGTTGCGATAAAATCCCAAGAGGCACAGTTACAGTGCCACCCCTTCTGTTCATAGCTTCTCAAACTCCCTTGGCTAGTAGAACAGCACTTAGTCTACTCCAATAATATTTCACAAAGTTGAAACATGCAGACAGAAGGACGTTTGACAATCTTTTTCAGAGTACTAGGTCCTCTCCCAAAGTTATTCTGCAAGGTTTATGTGTAGTGGGTGAGACAGTCACAGAAGGTTGATTTACTCCTCAAACATTTATCTGCATTAGCCCCTCAAAACTGAGGGGCGAAATGGACAAAATGGAACTGGAAGATGTTAAAACTGGGAGAAGTTACACTGCTTTCTCAGAGGGTACTCCAATAATGTAAACGGTAAACTTGTAGTTAAAATATTTTGGTTTAATTCAATCTATAGTTGAATTAAACTATAGGTTTAGGGTTAAGGATGGATGGCTGGATGGCCATCCATCCATCCATTTTCTTCTGCTTATCCGGGGTCAGGTCGCGGGGTAGCAGCTTACGAAGGGAGGACCAGACTTCCCTCTCCCCAACCACTTGTTCCAGTTCTTCCGGGAAAGTTCAAGGCATTCCCAGGTCAGCCGAGAGACATAGTCCCTCCAGCATGTCTTGGGTCTTCCTCGGGGCCTCCTCCCAATAGGAGGACATGGCCTGAACACCTCACCAGAGAGGCGTACAGGAGGCATCCTGACCAGATGCCCGAACCTCAACTGGCTCCTCTCGAAGTGAAGGAACAGCGGCTCTACTCTGAGTCCCTTCCCGATGACCGAGCTTCTCACCCCAACTCTAAGGGAGAGCCCAGACACCCTGCAGAGGAAACCCATTTCGGCCGCTTGTATCCGTGACCTTGTTCTTTTGGTCATGACCCAAAGATCATGACCATAGATGAGGGTGGGAACGTAGATCGACCGATAAATTGAGAGCTTCACTTTTTGACT